GGGGGCGGGACGCGTGCCCCGGCCTGGGCCCGGCGGCGAGGAGCGGCGCTCAGCCGGGTGCCCCGCGCCCGCGGAGGAGGAGGAGGCCGGCGGGGTTTCACAGCGGCCGGGCAAACAGCAATGGGCTCAAGCGGCAGCCAGGGAGGCTCGGGCTAGGCTGGAGGTTAGGATGCGTTTGCTCGCCAGGCGGCTGAGGTGATGTGGGTTGACAGGGCCCCGCCTCGCCCTCACTTTGTATGAGGGAGGGGCGTAAATGCCAGAGGCGGCGAGTGGCAGAGGACCGCGCGCCCCAGGTTTCTGGGCCAGGCGGACCTCTGCTTTGGCCCAGCTAATGTACTCTCATGAGCTGCCAGAGCTCATAAGGGGCAGGACTCTGGTCCCCGCACCTCAGAAAGGAGCTGTAAGAAGTAGAGAAGGGCCGCACGGATGACCAGGGCTATGAAGGGGCTTCCACGTGAGGAGAGACTAATGAGGCCGGGTGTGTTCAGGTTAGAAAAGAGATGCTTGAGGGGGGACAGGAGAAGGGCTTACTCAGTACTAAACGGCGAAGGGTTTAGTATGGACTCTCTCTCGCCCGTCGAGAGCGCGGGGTCACAACATGGAAGGAGCTGGCGGGCAGTATAAAAGGAATACCAGGATGACCTTTTTTCATGCAGCGTATCATTGCCGGGTGGAGCTCCTTGCCACCGGATGTGGTGGAAGCTGCCAGTTTAGCCTGATTCACGAAGGGCCTGCACACGTTTCTGGAGGAAAGGCGCACGCGTCGCTGGTGAGCGCAGGAGCAAAGGGCACGCCTCTGAATCGGAGCTCCCTGAACCTCAAATGCTGGAGGCTGTAAATGGGAGAGAAACAGTAGGGGAAAAAACCTGGTCAGACCCCATTCACTCTCCCTTTCAGCATCCTCCCTGTGCTCTGTGACAGACCTATTTATTCAGTTCATTACATAACAGGTGGGCCCGTGCTCCAAGCAGTAACCTCACTGCTTGAGGCACAGAGACATGAGAGCTGCGGTGCCGCTAGCCAGTGTCCCCAGCTGGCCCAGTATTGGCGGGACCACGAATAAAAGCCCTTTTTTAGGTGGTTTACGTAATTACCAAATCTGTACGATACCTGCATTTTAGATGCCAAGAAGACAGGCCTCTGGCAAAGGCAAAGCCCACGTGAAAACCAACATGCAGATGTAGCTGCTGTGATATTCAAGACCGCTGAGCCCAGGGACGTCTCCTAGGGCGAGACGTGTCTCCTGTGAGTAATGGCCCCAGTAAGAGCAGCACTGGG